ATAGGGGTTTATGGTGGTGAACCCCCAGCCAGCTGTGGTGTGTACCCTCATTTGGGCGTTTAGGATTAAGGTTTTTCTGTTATGTTATGTTATGGTGATTAAATAGATATTTTTCCTAATTGGATTTTTGCCTAACCTCTGTTACCCAACCCCTTGAAGTACACATACCAGTTTAGCGCTTTCTGTTTTGACTGGGATAGCCCTGGGTGGCCGGTTTGGGCTTGAGTTATGCAGGGTTCTGCATGACATTGTAATGTACATATAGTGGAGAAGTGTGCCATAATAATATGAATATTATAGTTGTAAAGAATAATTTTATAATTTAAAATGTGCATTTGGGGGTACTGTAAAGTACTCTAACTGTAATTATAAAGAAATTCTGTTAATGATTTATTTTCCAAGGATGTTTGGGTACGCGGAGTAAGGTGGTTTGGGGGAGTCACGTGACGTTAGCATGGTGTGTAGAGGCTGGCGTCGGAGATGCTGTGTATTTAAGATAAGTTTGTAGTTGTACACTCATTTCGTTTATCCAACTCAAGCCATAGGCTCTCATATGGCTTACTTGTATGTTCACCCAGGCTCTGACATGGTCAGGGTGCTGTGGGATGTCAGAGGAATTAAGAAATGAGGTTTGTAGTGTAATGATGGCCTGACGCTGACGAAGCCTAGTGGTTATGGTGGCTGAACCTCCAGCCAGCTGTGGTGTGTACCCTCATTTGGGCGTTTAGGATTAAGGTTTTTCTGTTATGTTATGTTATGGTGATTAAATAGATATATTTTCCTAATTGGGATTTTTGCCTAACCCTCTGTTACCAAACCCTTGAAGTACACATACCAGTTTAGCGCTTTCTGTTTTGACTGGGATTAGCCCTGGTGGCCGGTTTGGGCTTGAGATGTGTGTAACTTTTACCTTTGCCCTTAGACCAGGCTCAAGCCCCAGCTATCCCACATTTTTGCGTAACAGTAGTATTAAGATCTACATTATTTAGTTTATATGTAGCATGGTTATTTAACTGTCCAACATTTAGAACTTTGCATTTGTCAATATAAAACTGCATCTGCCACTTCTCTGACCATTGCATCAGTCTATTCAAATATCTGGAGTGCTCTAGTGTCCTCACAGAATGAATTGGACGGCCCATTTTGGTGTCATCAGCAAATTTGCTTATGTCGCTATTTATTCCTTCATCTATGTCGTTTATGTAAATTTTGAACAACAACGGGCCCAACAGTGACCCTGAGGAACACCGCTTGTGACGTGCCCCCATTCTGATTTCTCCCCATTTGTGCAACTCTCTGCTGCCTATTTATCAGCCATGCCTCTATCCAGGAAAAAATTTCTCCTCCTATTCCGTGTGCCTTAAGTTTCCTCAATAGCCTCTGGTGTGGAAACTCTATCGAAAGCCTTACCGAAGTCCATATACACAATATCATATTCATTACCATGATCTACCTTCTCAAACACCTTAGTGAAAAAAGTTAGCAAATTTGTAAGACAGGAATGCCCCTTTGTAAAACCGTGTTGAGATTCATTAATCAATCTGTACCTATCAAGATGGCTACGAATTGCCTCGGCAATTATTGATTCCATAAATTTTCCCACTATGGAGGTAAGGCTCATTGGTCTATAGTTCGAAGCCAAGGACCTGTCACCTGCCTTGTAAATAGGTATTACATTTGCCGTTTTCCACTTATCAGGCACTATGCCAGTTTGTAGTGATATGTTAAAAAGATTAGCCATAGGTATGCTAAGTTCCTCTTTTACATTCCCTTAACACCCTTGCAAACAGTTCATCAGGACCTGGGCATTTTTTAGGTTTTTGTTTCTCTATTTGTTGAGGACCATGTCACTAGTTACTGCAATCATGCATAGTTTATCATCCTGTTCTACATAGTCTAGTATTTCAGGAATATCGCTAGTATTTTCCTGGGTGAAAACTGAGAGGATGTAGGTATTGAGAATTTCACACACATCCTCATCACTGTCAGTGATCTGACCAGAGTTACTCTTAAGTGGGCCAATCTTGTCCCTAATCTTACTTCTGTATACCTGAAAGAACCCTTCTGGGTTAGTCTTTGAATCCCTTGCAACCTTAGCCTCATAATCCCTTTTTTGCTTTTCTTATTCCTTTCTTTATTTCTCTCTTTAATTAAATATATTGATTCTTAACTGCCCATCCCCTCTTTTGATATGCCTATATATGCCTCTCTTTTGACCAATGAGATGTTATAATCTATTGTTCATCCATTTGGGATCATTTTTGTTAGATCTAATTTTCCTACTCAGAACAAAAGTTGTTGGGCAGGTAGAACTATGCTCTGAAAAACGTCATATTGGCAACAAGATCACCTACCTGACCCATAGTTAGGACATCCCAATTTAGCCCACCCAGGTAATTTTTCAGTCCCATGAAGTCGGCCAAAGCGAAAATCTGGGACAGAGATTTGATTGCAGTTATCTGGGTAATTCCATGATATATTGAAACTAAGTGATTTGTGATCACTTTCCCCAAGCTCATCATTAACCTCAAGATTATTAATTTAGTGATCTTTTTTGGCAAGAACCAAGTCAAGCAGATTGTTTCCTCTAGTTGGTTCTGTCACAACTGTTCTAAAAAGCAATCCTGAACCTTATCAAGACAGTCACAAGACTAAAATTTCCTGTCCCCCCCTTTTTTTTTAAAAAAACCCCCAAATTTTTTTTTGGTCTTTTGCCGCAAACCTTTTTTTTTTTTTTTTTTTTTTAAAATGTTTTAAATAAAAAAAGATTATCTGTTACGTTTTAAAGACTTTCCTGTCGTGTCAAAAAGGGAAATTTCTTTTTGTATGCAGATGATAGTGATCTGGGTTTTTTTTCCCGGTAAAGAACCCCCAAGATATTGCAAAACGTTCTGTTTACTAGAATTAGAGCCTTTAGCAAATGATTTTAGACAAAAATTATCGTTATAAAAAGGGAAAAAACGAAAGCCATACTCCCGGGACAAGCATAAACTTTAAAAGGAAAAAAAATTTTAATGTTTAAGTGTAATGGGGAAAAAAATTATTCAGTTTAAAATTTAGTTTAAAACCCGGGAATCCCCTTTGATCCAAGCATGCAGGGGGAACTGAAAAGGGGAAAAAGCCCGGAAAGAAAGGAAAAGCCAAACTAAAAATTCCCCCTAAGATAGGCACGTGTTACCCACTGAAGCTCGTAGGTCCCCATGTCTAGCTCTCGTACAATTTTTTAAAAACTACTTTTTGTCTTCATGATACCCCGCCTTAAAAAAAAAAAAAAAAATTTAAGATAAATTTTCAAAATCACCCCGGGGCAAAATGGTGGATTCATTTTGGGCCTGGGTCCAAAAGAGCATGCTGTCCAGAATGGGAAATTTCACTAAAATGGTATATAAATACTTGCTTCGGCCCGTAAAATACTAAAAATTTGGAAAAGATAAGAGAAGATTTGCATGGCCCTGCGCAAGGATGGAAAAAGCAAAAACGTTTGAAGCGTTCCCATTTTCATTCGCGCCTGACACGGTTTGAGTGCGGTTGGTTTCTCTGCACCCTCTGTGTTTTCAGGCGAGTACCCTTTTACCAAAAATGGGGCTGGTGTGGGAGGCGCGTAAATACCATTGGTTTGAGCTGCTTCGGGGGGCGATTTACCTCTTCAGCGCGGGTATTACTCCCAAAAATCTTTAGGGGACTATGGAATCCAGGCAATGGGTGTATGGTGTAGCCCTGAATGGGGCTTACAGAATCTTCGTCAAATGAATTCAACGCCCGGTACGAGTCTTTGGTGCGAGTTTCCCAAGAGTGAGTTTGACCCCTCTCCGTTAAAGGTGCGTTTGATCGATGTATTCGCCACTTTACGTGGGTTAAGATTGTATGTCCCATTTGAGGCGATGAGGTGACTCAGGAATGTTTTTGGGCTATGGGACCTACTCTGGCAAACAGGGCAAGTGGGGGCAGGTGTTACATGGGCCGTCGGAGGGAACCTTTTCCCCGGGAAAAGATGACTCTGGAAAACTAAATAGTTTAGTCGTGTTGGAGGCTTAAAAGCACAAGTTAGGGTATCGTATGCCGGACAGAGATGTCGTGCAGAATATGTGGGGCGAGACTATAGGGGGCAGCGGTGTAAAAGCTGAGGAGAGTGCCTTCAAAAAAGGGTGATGCACCGTTACCAGGTGATAGCTGTTGTTGGACCCCCACGCAAAAGCAAGGGCTTGGGTGCTTGGGGGGTTTGAAGAGGGGGGATTCAAAAGAGGAGAATGGCGTGTGTGAGGAAAAAGCTGTGATGAAAAAAGGAATCTGTTACAGGCAGGGAAAAGTACAGAAGTGCAAGTGCAGGGGGAGGTGCGGCTAGAGGAAGAGCTTCGGGAAGTGTTAAGGACAGACGCCACTGAGGGATGTTTTTCCTGAGGGGTTTTGGAGGGGCACGTTCCTTTGTGGGGAAAGTAATGATAAAAACCATAGCAGGTTGACGGGCCCAATGTAAGTGTGAGTTGTCGCCGTGTGTGGGGAACGAGGCGTGGGGGAGGTTGGGTACATCGTGGGGAACCTCATTAGAAAACGGGGATGTGGAGGGCATACGAGGAAGAGACGGCGGCGTCAGATTCAGATGGTGTCCCGCGCTGGCGCAGAGGTCTGGGAGGAAGGAAGGCACTGTCGAGGTGTCACGATAAGAGGCACGCAAAAAAAGGGGGGGGGGTTGACGTGGAAGCCTGTGCGGCTCTGGGGGGGGAGGGCCCCGGGTGAATGAAGAGAGGAGGAAGGGTTGGAAACTATAAAGAGGCCTTTGGTGTATGACTTGAACGTAAAAGGGATGTGTAATAGTGTGAAAAGGGAATGGTTTCGAATGTTTCTGTATAAAAAATAGGGGGATGTTGTGTTCCCCAAGAACCAAATTTTAAGGGGGAAAGTGTAGGGGGAGGGGTTTCAGGGCATGACTCTGCCATCTGTACGTCTGAAGGGGTGTGGGTATATTTATCGGGGGACGGCCCTTTGTGTTGCTAAGAAGGAGGGGGGGGGGGGGGGGAAGAGTTTGTGGTGGATGGGTGGTGGATGGGCAGAGGGTATCCCTTTTTAAGTTGTATGCACCAGCGAAAATGATGTGAGGGTAAAAAAAGGGTTTTTATGTAAAACTAGTTTTTTTCTTTCGTGGTTTACCTGCAGTGGCCATCGTTTGGGGGGGATGGAATGCGTTATTGGAGGGGTGCGTGGAACCAAAAGGGGGGGGCATGTGTCGGCGGCCTTGCGGGAAATCTTTTGGGGGTATTAGTTCGGGATCGGTTGGGGGAGGGGGTGGGAGGTAGGCACACTTTTGTAAGATGGGGGTTCGCGGCTGGTTGGATAGGCTGTATATATCTCAAGGGGGTTTGGTTGAATTTTTCCGTCAAAGAAGTGCTTATTCGGATCATCGGGCGATGTAGCAGAGTGGGGTGGGAGTCATAGCAGGGTTTTAGGGGTTATTGGAAGTTTAAATACAAGTGTGTTAGGCGATGAGGGGGGATAGAGGGATTTCAAGCTGTGGGAGTTGTTACATGCGAGGTAAATGGGTAGAGGTTGGTGATGTGGGGGATGGTGTGGCTAAAGAACGGATTAAGAAATTTTTTTATGTAAAGGAAGGAAATGTATAAATTCTTTAAAATTATGGGCTTGCCAACTATTTGGGGAAAGGTTTTACGGGGTTGTTATGCAGGGGGGCAGTGGCGGGCCTTATCCAATGGATGATTTTTATGAAAATTTAAAAGGGGGCTGCGTGAGGTAAGGATGAGAGGTTCCAAGGGGTGCGGGTACAGGGGGGGGTGGAAGAGGTGTTTTGGGGCGATAGCCCTTTCTTTGGGGGATTGGTAGGCAGAAACCAAAGACAGCGGGAAATGACTATCCCATGGTTGGAGGTTCATGAGTCGATAGGAGGGTACAGGGGGGGGCAGGTCAACAGCTACGGAAAAAATGGGGGTGTTTGCTGATAAGTGGTATGGAAGTACTGGCAAAAGGAAGGGTAGAGGATGGGGTTTTAGAAAAGGGGTGGGAGTGTGGTTGTCGTTTGGGGAACATGATGGGAGCACTGGGTGGGGAAATAACTGAGGGGGAAAAAAATTTGGGGGGCTTTAAGTGGAATGCGAAAGGGCAAAGCCCGGGAAAATTTAAAGGAACCCAAGGGGTTTTATCGAGCTTTGGGAAATTTAAGAGTCATTTTTTGGTTAGGTTATTAAAAGCATGAAGGGAGGATGAGTGGGTGGAACAGGAACGGGTGTCGTTGATTGGTACCAAAGGGTAAGGGGGGGATAGCTTCGGATTAGGGCGATCTCGTTTTTTATGCGCAGATTCAAATTGTTTGCGAGATTTTGGGAAATTGGGTCAAGTGGTGGTGGGGTGGGTAGTTCAAAAACTCGTTTGGTTTGCCAGGGAGGTCTATGGTGGGGGGCATGGGTTACTTAGGGATTTCGGGAGGCAAAAATGGGGGAAGGGGGGGGGTTTGGTGGCACTCGATTGGTAAAGAGGCATTGATAGAGTGGATAGGAAAGCATTGAAATCCATCCCTCAGGGGTCAGGGGGTTTGGGGAAGAAATAGTGGGTTGGGGTTCAGGCGTTGTATGGAGGTGCAATGGCCCGAGAGTACAGATTAATGGTCGATTGGGTGGGAAGATTGTAATGGGTAGGGGACTTAGGTGGGGTTGTCCTGTCTGTCACAATTGTTTGAGTTGTGTACAGGTCCTTTTCATGATAACAGTAGATGGTGGAGAAGTGTATGTGTGACGTAGTGGGACCAGGGTGTGAGGTTGTGAGGGTTTAGCCCAGTTTTATTGGGTATGTCATGAAACCAACTGTTCTGGATCTGGGGGGGATGTCAATGGACACATTGATGGGGTGTAGTACGAAATGTTCGCAGGGCAACTAGGTAAGCGGGTAAATCAGATAAATCCATGGTCATCGGGGTTAGGGAGCTTGGGAGGAAGGGTTGATTGGGGTTAGTGCAGTTGTGAGGAGGCAGGTGAATTCGTTATAAAAAAATTTGCTGGTCTTATATTGCAAGACGATCTAACTGTGGCTGCTATGGAAACTTCGATTAGGATGGTAGAAAGGATTCAGGGACGCTTGGGTGATTGCGACCTTATCATTTAACCCTGTGCAAACGTTGCATTGTTATTTATTATCTTACTTGTATAGCAAAGTATGGCACGTGGGCACGCCGTGTTCCCATTAACCGGGCCGGCAATACGAACATACTTAAGAAGGTTTTTTTAAATTCTTGTGAGGTTCGAGAGGTGATTGGAATTAAAAGGGACGTGGTAAATGTTACATGGAAGTCAGGGGGGGTTGGGATTGCTGGACTTAAAAGCGGAGGGGTCCAAATGTGTCTTCATTTTAAAAGGGAGGTGATGAGGGAAAAGTGTAGGTGGGGGGGGGGTTTGGCCAGGATCCTTAACAGATTGCAACGGATGTATACAGGAGTTGAGTTGCATGAGTGTGAAACTGTTTGGGGCTATGGCGTGGGAATCAGAGCCAGCAAAGGTTAAAAGAGGTTGGTTGTGTAGATTGTTAGCGGGAGGGTTGTAGCTCCTGAAGAGGGGAATTTTCCCCATGTATGCATGGGGAAGTATATGGAATATTAGGTGGAGTAGGATGAGGTTGGCAACCTGTTGTTCGGGATGTAATTATCGTTTTCTGCACGGCATTTTACCGTCGGGTGTGGTTCATACGGGAATAGACGAGTCGTTGACGGGGGGGAGTGCGTGACGTGTGGTGGGGAGGAGTCTGCTTTTCATGTAGTTATTTTTTGTGACGGACTGAGGAGTGTCAAGGGGTGGTAAATTGGTGATAATTGGATAGGAGGTAAGGAATTCTGTTTGGAAGAGCATTTAAAGTCTCGACGTGGGGGTTGGGAGGAAAGTGTAATCAGCAGCTGTGGGGTACATTATTGGCAGATTATAATATATAATAGTGTGGGGTTGGCGGGGGAAACGGGTTAGTGAGGTGAAAAGTGGAGGGTGTTAGCAGTAACGTTCTAAAAAAACGGTATGTAGAAATAAAGGAAATTTATGCGAGGAGGTGGGCGAGGGATTTTTCATGTGGGATATAGGCAACTTACGTACAGGTTTTATTAGACTTGTAAATATACGGAGGGAGGGGAGGGTATGTATGATTGGAAAGTGTTGTTGTGGGGTTAGGGGAAGTCATGGTGTGAAACAGGGTCGCCTCCCTGGTAATGGATGACAAAACAAATGTTTGCGTGGGGTATCATTTGATGAGTGTTGGTGAGTGAATAATGTATGGACCAAGGGTGCTGGCCACACTGTGGAGCTGGCAGTTTTTTGTGTTTCATGACTATACACTATTTCTTATTGTACTTCATGTTCCTTCAGGGACAGTAGTGATTGAGGGATAAGGTATTAAAGGGGGGGGGGCGTTGCCTAACATCTCTGTGAAGAGTGAGGGTTACGGGCAGTATATTGATTGGAAGTGATGGACAGTGCTAGTCCAGTGTGTTTGTATATTATGTGTAGATAATACGCATATTA